GACGTACCAGCAGCCCCCTCCGGCAGATGCTTTCGACACCGAGACACAGGGGTACCAAACGCAGAACTACTGAGCCACCGATGCCCCTTTCCCTTCCCCCTTCCCTTCTGCCCCCTTTCCCGCTGCCGGCAGAAAGCCGAGGCACAAGCCAGGCACGTGCGTAGTGGCACAAGAGGTGGCTCTCAGCTATGCTCCAGCCTTCTGGGTCATCTGGTTTTATTTATCGTTTTTAAAAAAGGAAAAAAAAAAGAAAAAAAGGTTTCCCCGTCACCTCTTCCTTCTCCACCCAAAACTACCTGCCAGAACCAAATTCTTCCAAAATCTGTCACTGTGTTGCGACAGGAAGGTCCCCCCTTCCCTCCTCTCCCTCCTGCCTGGCTGCGGAGGGCAGCGTCTGGCGTGTGAGAGGGGCAATGGCAGCAGTGGGGCAGGGGAGAGGGTGCTGGGAGCAGGAGGAAAGGGGTGAGAGGGACCGGGGACCTTCCTAGGAGAGGTGGTGTCACTAAAGGCTGGAGTAGATGTGGGAGCATCCAGATGGGGCCGGAGGGCCCGGTGGCTCAGGGAGGGGGATGGTGTTGGAGTCAGCATGCAGGCGTGCAAGGGTGGGGTGGGGGGCTGGAGGGGAGCAGGAGTGGCATCCTCTGTGCAAAGACGGGGGGTTTTCTCTCCCACCCACTAACGAGGGAGGAATGCTTTATTTTTAGAAGGTATTGGGGTGGGGGTACAGAAGAGCTAAAATGGGAAGGGAAGGAGGGAGAGTGCAGGTACAATCAAACACCACAGGCACGCGTGGAGGTTCCGGCGAGAGGCCGGGCAGAGCAGGGCGGCAGTGCCGGGACAGACTCCTTCCCAGCCCCCTGGATTGAGGGGGAGGTGTCCATCCTGCTGGAGCCTGTTACGTCCTGCTCCCCACTCGGTGGTGGGTGAGGCAGGAGGGGAGCCAAGTCCCTGGCCCCCAGGCGCAGCCCCTGTGGGAGGACGGATGGGGGAGGTGGGATGCTGAGAGCCCTCGTCCCCAGCGGGGCTGGTCCGAGGGGAAGAGGAGAGCTTCGCCCTTTCGCCCTGGGCAGGAGGAGGAGGAGAAAGCCCGTTGCGTTCCCCAGGTCCTGCGGACCCCAGCTCCGCTCCTCTGCTGCCACAGTGCAAAGCCTCTTGCTGTCACTGCGTTCGCAGCGGGCAGGAACGGAGCAGGAGTCCCCAGGAAAGAGATCCCGCCGGTGGGACAGCCAGCGCGCCTGGCTCTCGCACGGGGCTGCAGCCCGGCAGGGGAGGGTCCCCCCACGCAGACGGGGAGGGGGTCTTGGTGTGCAGGGAATGGGCTGGGGCCAGGCTGGGCTCTGAGGACTGGCCATACTGTACTTGACAGGCTGTACTTAGTGCGTCTCCCACAGCATCCGGGGCCCTGGCTGTCCGTCAAGCCTCGCCTAGGTGGCGGTAGTGACTCCGGGATGGAGCTGGCGTGGCCAGCATTCCGCACTGATTCCGCTGCAGGGGCAGACACGGCTGGGGATGCACGCTCTGTGTTCCAGGACAGACCTAAGATGTGTGCGAGGGCAGTCCCTAGAGGGGAATAATTCAGTAACAGCCACCTGCAGAACCCTCCCCAGCACAGACATCTCTCGGAGCACACGAAGCGGGGTCTGACTCGAGCTCCATCCCCCTGACAGCCTCCCTGCTCACGCAACGCTGGCCCCAGCAGCAGGGATCAGGAGCAGATCCAAAATCCATACGTGCTCCCCTTGAGCGTCCCGCTCTTTCCCCATGGCACGCGTAAGAGTGGGGGGGACGGGACACAGGTCTGGCCTGTGGTTCTGTGAGCATCTCGCCGGGAGGTCACCAGTGCTCCCTCTCCTCTCCAGCTGCCCCACAGCCATAGGGAAGGGGCAGAAGCCGTAGAGCTGCAGGCCCCGGGAGGGAGGCTGGCAGTTGTTCTCCGCTGTATCTAGGCACTGTTTCTACCTGCTCCTACCAGCAGACTTGTGCTGTCCCCATGGCTTCTCCTCCCCATGGCTTCTCCTCCCCATGGCTTGTCCCCCCTCGCTGGTGGCTAACCACTGGTGAGGACGGGAGCGGGGGACCCGCTGGCCCTGTGGACGCATCAGGAGGGATGGAGAACGCATCCCTTGCTCTACGGCTGCGAGCGAAAGCAATACTGTAAATAGGAGGGGTATTTTTTTGGAGGGGAGCCCCTTGGGCTTCTTTTTCTGTGGGCTCAGCCTAATATTTAGGCTTGGGAGGGGGTTACTTTATTGAGAGAGGTTCGTTATGACTGTGGTTGTGGAGGGAGCACCCTCCAGTCCATCTCTCCCTCTGGGAGAGAGGAAAGAAGGAATTATGGGGTGGAGGAGGAGAGAAACTAGTACTCACCCAGACTCATCTGTGTCATTCTTTGTGCTTTTGGGGGGCAGGGGAGGGGACCAGGAGGAGGAGTAGGCTATAAATAACCAGCCCTCAGCATAGAAACGCGTTGTACTTTTTGGGTGGCACTGCCCATCACCTATTCCCTCTCTTCGGTGAGGAGGTGAGGGGTGGGGTGCATGAGGAGAGGTACGGCCCATATGCGGGACGTCTACCTGGGGCTCTGTTTTGGGGTGTAGCACAAGAGCATCTTGCGTGCCCCTTCCCCCATCAGAATTACGTAGACAGCCAAACACCATTTGGGGCTGACTAATGAGCAAGCTTTTCTTTATCCTCTTTGGCTTGCTTCCCTCATCTGACCAGCTGACGGGCTCCGGTGGGCTTGAGGTAGGAATGAGCCTCCCCCTCGGAGCCAGCGCTTCAGCGCGACAGGAGCCGGGTGGCTTCGTCCTAGGTAACTGCCCATGTCCCTGTCCCTTTCCTCCTTCCTTTGTGCCGTAGGCAAGGCAGGGGACACTGCAGCAGTCGATACGCCGGCCCCTTCTTGGTGTTGCCCATGGACGAAGACACGCACTCCCGGGGTTGACATGCTTTTTGCAGTGGAGGGCTGGTGGTGACACACCTGGGGCGGGACTCTCCCTGTTTGTGTGTAGCTCTTTAAAATGCAGTTCCCAGTGGCATTTGGCAGGTTCTGTAGCTGATGAGGGATACGGAGCTACCCTAAGGGTTGCTTATCTTCTCTCGGGCGCTTCTGATAAGGTGCTGCCTATTTCTGGTGATCACAGGCAAGAGCTGAGCAGCTGGCTGGAACTTGTCCCTTTTACATCCTAAACATGAGTGAGTCCAGCCCCACTCCAGGGATTAGGAGATCAGAGGGAAAGCTGCATAAGCAAAATGATAAGGCGGCTTTCTTCCCCCTCTGCCGTTTGTCTGGATTACAGAGGATTACGCATCCCCTGTTGGGAGCAATGGCCCCTTGATGTCTTCTTATCTTATGAGGCCCCAAAGTGAGGGACTGTTCTGTGGAAGCAGGGACTGTGAAGGGCAATGGGATGATGAAACCTTGCCCCAATTCCACCCACGGCTTCAGGCTCCTGACATGTCCCCATCCCCGGCTCACCCACGTCCCCACCGCATCGCTCATCACCTCATCACACACCCTTCCCCTCCACGTTATTCCTGGCAGTTCCCTCAGGGGAGGAGGCGTCTTTTGTCCCTGCACCTTCACAAGCATTTGGGAAGACCCAGGAAGGCAGCGTTACGGGGTGGTTCTCATGGGAGTCTCAGCTCCGGTCCCCAGAGCAGGTACAAGGGAATGAGCCCAGTGAGGCCACTTCATGTAGCGTGCCCAAACCATCCATCCATCCAGATGAGTCCCGCTGCCAGCGTGGCATGCGTAACACCACCTGGGCTGCCCTGCCC